CAACCTATACGTTGCCAAACCCAAAGGTATTTTACTATCTTCCTGTTAGTTGACTTCCTGACCTCCTAGGTGTATGCTTTCTTATTCAAAATTCTTTCTTTGTGACCCTCATGCTCTCTTCCTCTCATTACCGAGAGCACTCTCTTATATCACTAAATATATAGGTTCCTCAGGGCTGGCTCCTAAGCCTCTGCCTCTGCTCTTTCTATAGACTCTCTAATTAATCTCTTCTATTCCCATGGTTTTAAATCCTATGTTCATGCTAGCAACTCTAAAATTAATATTTCTAGCAGAGACCTTGGTCACTTTATTGTAAACAGCTAAGTTAGGTAGAAATATTATAGGCAGTTAGACAGGGCTGGCCCCTCAAGGAAATCAGTGCAGAAGATAGGGACACAGTACAACTGTGGCCTGGAGGTTCATTTGTTGGAGGCCAGATCTCAAGATAAAGATGGAATGACCAGACCTACATACTGACAGGCCCTGAGTCAGACACTCTCCCTCTCTCCCATCCCTCCTCCCCACCCAAGCAGACCCACTACTGGCATCCACAGGAGCACAGAGATAGCAGTAAGCCAGCAGCCACCCTGCTTCTCTCACCACTGCCCTGTTTATCAGCCAGGCCCAGGCCCCTCACTATGGGACTTTAAAATTTTCCACCTTTTCAACCAGTGCCCCCTCCCCTACCTAAACTCCCCTATATCAACTGTGCACACACTCCTCTCAGTGCCAATGGCCTTTTTGCCCTTGAGCCATCTGCAGCCAGATGGCAATAAACTCATCACATGTTGCTTAATTTTGCCTTCCTTGGTGGTCTCAATTGTGCTTTGGTCTGATCTTACACATACCTCCCCCAGGGGATAAGATAAATGGTATCACCTAGACCAATAAAGTCTAGATAGACATTAGTTACCCCAGTGGGTGGCCAAAACCCCCTGATTCATTTCTTCCTAAAAAATGTCTTTGATTTTTCCATGTACACTTGCTACATAACCTGCTTCCCCATTGGATCAATATTACCAAAGCAGCTTTATTTGTAATCTTATTGGTTGATTATAGTTTTGACCCATGTTGTACATACCTTGTGATTTTTCTCTATAAAACTTCCTTTGAGAAGTAAGCTCCTTGGCAACTCATTTCCAAGTCCCCTCCTGCCCCTCAGGAGCTCTCTCTTTCTCAAAGTTTTCCTACTTTTAACCTCTGTTGTTACTTAGGATTTATTCTTTGATTTGGGGGAACATGAACTTGGCATATCTGGCACCTAGCAGGTTGGGAGTTACATTTATTTCCCCTATATCAACTTCACTCATATTCTATTAGATTCTTGTTATTTCTGTTTAAATTAAAGCAAAATAAACATAACGTAAAAACTAAAGGCAGACTTTTCTTCCTAAAGCTACTTATTCCTATCTCAGTAAATAACACTATCTACCCAATTACTTACATACCCTACGTTGCATCATTACATTTATTGAATTTATCATCACATCCTATGCATTCTACCTCCAGCAATATATTCCAGTACCACCACCCTAGTCCAGATCCCTATCATTCTTTCTCTATATTTGTGCAGCAAATTTCTCACTGATTTTCTTGTTCTTTACAACCTATTTTCCATTAGCAGATACTTAATAGTTTTTACATAATAAATCAAATTATTTCCCTACCCAACTTAAAAATAATCGTTACTTCCTTAATGCACTTAGAAGATATTGAAAACTCTTTATTATGCCTATAAGCCCTTATATAACATGGATCTTTGTTATTTCTCGAACTATACCTTTCTCTAGTCAACCTAGCCATTTTTCATTGTAAGTGCCTTTGAACATGCTTCTTAAAAAAACTCTTTATATTTTTTTCTGTTGCTGGGGATTGAACTCAGGACCCTGCACTTGTGAGGCAGGCACAGTGCCACTGAGCTAAATCCCCAGCCCTGCAAATACTTTTTATTCTGCCCAGAAGATTGATGCTTTTAACTGTTGTGTCCAGATCGCGAAGTCTTTAAAGACCACCAAGGAGCCGATTTTGATGTAAACACACGAGGGTCGTTTATTTAAGTTCGAGCAGGGACTCATAATCGTCACCGGAGCAGCGGATCAGGATTGAGAGCTCCCAATTTTAAATCAGCAGGGTTTTTATTGTGGCTACAGCAAGGTTTGGGGATTTTTTTATTTAGCAGTTACCTGATTGGTTGATATTTAGCAAGTATGGGGTGTATGGGGGGACGTTGAGGGGCGGCTACATGTAGATTTTATAAAAAAGGAACAATCAGCTCATTGACAGAATGTTTATGGTCAGCATATAGATAATGGGCCCTGGAGCGTCTGTTTTCTGGGCAAACAGAGGATTGAGTTAGGAGCTGTGTCCTTTTTTTATCTGTTGTCCCAGAGCAAGGACATTTTATCATTACTTTATGGGCACAAAGGGGAATAGTTGACTTTAGTGAAGTGGAATTTATGTCAAGGCCACTTTACTGTCTTATTTTAAGATGGAGTCAAATTTTAAAATGGAGTTATTTAGGTCTCACATTACTTCTCACTTTGTCTAATTAAGTCTTAATCATATTTTAGATTATACCCAATTATACTCTTCTTTTTATATGTCACTCCTATAGGAAACTCTTCCATGACTTCCTTAACTCAATCAAACAACAACTTTTACAGTTATTCACAGTACGGTGTACCTCTCCTTGGTATTGTCTTAGTTGTTTGCTTGTTTTGTTTTTTAGTATTGTCTTAAGTTTAAGCTTAGTAAATTGGTTTATTTCTTTCTTAACTTAGTGAATAAGGGGGGTCAGAATGCATATGTTTCTATTTATTATTTTATTCCTAGTTCTTAACAAAGTACCTGAAACATAGTAGTTGCTCAAGAAACATCTCCAGAATAAATGAATAATTGACATAGTGCCATGCTAGTGAAAGGACACTGTAGCTTCTATGAGAGTAATCAAATTATTAAAGAAAAAGATAATCTAAAAGAATAACTATGTATGACATAGTTTAAATCAGTGTTATTAGCTTTGTTTGATTTTACAGCTACAAAATGTGAGTAAAGTTTTATGTAAATAATTCTATTCCCCTAATGATAACAGGCAAAATTAAATCAATTTCTCCATTTCAATTCTATTTCTCACCATATACATACACAAAGTAATTTCAAAGCTCAGTAAAAGTATGCAAAATAAAGCCCATAGCCATATGTGTGTGGAGAGACTAAGGTCATGATATTTTTTTGCAAAAAGGGGGAAGTTGCTCCTGAGAGAGATAGAAGAGAAGAGTGGAGGAAAAAACAGGGTGGGGCGAGGAGAGAGAGAGAGAGAGAGAGACTTAAAATTAAATTTGAGGTTGTTTTTGCTTGCAATGTAAATCTGTCTGACTTCCCAAACCTTCAATATATCTGCTAGGTTCATAAGCTTAGATCAAGACTAAGTAACTAGAAAAGGGAGGAGTTGCTAGAGCCATCAAGCCACAAAGGCCATTCAGGAAATTCTCTGTTTATGCTTGTTTGGCATTTTTCTAACTTCACTTGGTCTGTGTACTTCACTGAAAAACATCTAACTCATTTTGAATTTGTAATAATAACCATTTCTATTCTGGACTATGACACCTAAAATGTGTGTCTGGGTGCGCAAGGTACTGTATTCCAGAAGAATTACTGAATTTCCTAACCTCATTGTTCCTACCCTTTCTGCTCCAGTTACATCTTCACTTCGGAACTAGAATTCACCATGTATCTTCAGCTTTTCTCACACCACCATGGCCCCCTGTAATTCTACTTTTCTGGCAATAATTTCATGGCAAGGCATTTCTTCTGACCCTGTATAACTTGTCCTAGCCTGAGTGAATTATCTAGTTTGAGGCTGGCTCACCACCAGAACTGAGGCAGAGAACATTAACATAGAGCTTTGTGTGTGATGACAATGCTTAAAAAATGATTGACAAATTTGGTCAAAATTAAATAAAGTGGTAACAGTTTTACAGAATATCTGATGATAAATCTAACAGTTAAATTGTGCTTTAGTGTACAAATATATGTAGTGTTTCTTAACTTTCTTAAGGCAGCTTTGCTGGCCAAGATTTTATCTAGTTTTAGTTTCTATGAGAGGATTACTGGAAAAGAGTAATTATTTACATTTTTTAAAATGCACTATGATGCTATAATATTTTTCCACATTTAAAGTTTTATTGATGTAAAAAAATCCTGCCTTTACTTGCTTTACTATTTCTTGATATTTATAACATCTCTTCATTAAAGGCATACAACCAAGGCCACATAAATTGGTGCAACATACTGTTTTAGAACTTATAAAATTCCATAATTCATCAACAGGAGTTTATGAAGCTAGAGAATGTCTATAGCCATTTTTCCAATTCACCAGGCAATTTCATTATTGTTATCTTCTTGTGAAAGTACATGGTTTTAAGAAGACTTTAAAACCACTTACAAAGGGAGGGCAGGGGAAGGGGGAAAAATAAGAACCAAGAGAGATTATGTAAAGGTACAAATTTTCAATGATGAATGTCATTATATTGTATACCTAAAAAGTACCAATAAAATAAATAAAACCACTTATAGTTTTCACAGCTCTGGTGTCATTTTATATCCTGAGTATTTTATTTGCTAACCAGGTATTCTCTGCTACAGACAAATATTTTAGTGTAAGTGTCAGCAGTTTTTCCTTGTCAGAGTAGGAAGTATGGGTCTCGGGAAATGCTATAATATTAAATCTGGTTTTTCAAAGACTGAATTCCTTTTAATCTATCCTAGAGATTGTTATAAGCCTCCATCATCCCACAATTCCCTCCTGACTATGGAAAGTCCCCAGAGATAAGAAGTTCCTCTACAGTTTGATGAAGATTTTCTAATTCAGAGTGGGATTAGCTATTATAGAAAAAGCCCTTCCTTTATTCTTAACACTGAAAACAATGAGGAAAAAAGACAAATATCTTAGTTCATTACATTTAATGAAAAATGTCATAAGAATAGCTAATTTGACCTACCCATCTAGGAGAGCAATGACGTTCTTCCTGGGCCGCCCAATATTAGGGCCATATAAGCTGGCTCTGGAATAAATCCGGATGGGTTGTAACAAGCTTTTCAGTTGGATGTAATCTTTTCCCAACTGGCTGCCATTTACTGCCCGGCCATGCATGGTCCGATAGTTATTTGGCTCTAAATTAAAAACAGAAATATAAATTAGAATTGAGAAGAGTGAGGCTCTGCCAACTCTTTCCTGTCCACAGCTCTCTACCTATTTCTTAAGAGAATAAATAAAATTACCAAAACGAAGGTATGAGTTATGTTAAGGAACTATCCCAACAAACAATTTAATTTAGCAGTGCCATGTCTCTGTTGCATTCATTTTCAAGCCAGTCTGTACAAAAGATCACCTAATGTACAAAGAGACCATACTTATTTTCAGATGATACTTCACAATGAATGGTATACTAGATTGAATAGCATCTTTCAAAATTTATGTCTACCAGAACCCCAAATTGTGACCTTATTAGGTATAGTGTCCTTGAAGATAATATCAGGCCTTACTGGATTAGGGTGGACCCTAAATTCATGACTACTATTTGTATAATAGAAGATGGAAGTCCAGATACAAAGACAACAGAAAATAGTTCTATGTTATGATAAATACAAATACTGGAGAGATGCTTTTTATGCTAAGGATTTTGGCCAGCAGAAGCTAGGAGAGAGGTATGGAAGAGATTCTTCTTCCTCAGAGTTTCCAAAGGAATCACTGCTACTGCTGTTAGGATTTCAGACTTCTGGTCTCCAGGATGAATAAATTTGTGTTATAAGCTGCCAAGTTTATGGTAATTTGTTGTGTCAAGTTCTAGGAAACTAATACAAATGTTAAGAAGGGAAATCTTTATAAAGTTGGTTATTTTACAAAAAAACCTTAATGTTCTTTAATATCTAAGTAGGTGAACAAAATAACTTTGACCAAAACTCTCTCACTCAGTGCTGTGGCTTGTATCTAGATGTCTCCCCAAAGCCTCATGCTGTCATAGGGGGATATTTTGGAGGTGGCTGGATCTAGGGGGTGTGAATCAAGGATGTGATGCTAAAATAGGTCCAGTGTTGAGAGTATATGCTACTGGCCCTAAGGGCGGGTAGCCTGGATAAAATATGAGACAGAAAGAAGGTTGCTTGTCACATGCTGCTTGTTACTTTGCTGCTTTGTTAACTTCAGCCTGCCTGTTCTGTGATGCCCCTCTCCCATGCCACCTTACCTCAGAGCCAATCACCTATGAACTGAAACCTCTAGAAACCGTGATCTACAATAAACCTTTCCTCCTTTAACTTTGAGTGTCAGGTATTCTGTCTCAGCAACAAGAAAAATAACTAAGACATTCAGTTTCAATTCAAAAAAGGTAGGAAAAGTCCTAAAAAGCAGCAATTCTAACCATGCAGGGTGGCTCACACATGTAATCCTAGCACTCTGGGAGACTGAGGCAAAAGGAGCCAAGTTTGACAACTACCAAACTTGTAGAGGAGCCAGCCTGCACAACTTAGCAACTTGGCGAGACCATGTCTCAGAATAACAAAAAAGAAAAGGGGCAGGAATGTAGCTCAGTGTGAAGTCTTCAATCAATCCTTCATACCACAAACAAAAAATCTCAAAAGTCTACTGCAGGAGGTGGCTAACTAGATTTAAAATAGAGCACATGCCCTAGGAAGGCCAACATCAGCTTAATGCTCTCATAGTGATAGGGACAAGACAGAGACTAGAAGACTTACAAGAATTTAAAGGGAGATCTGGGGAATAAAACAGCCACAGTGAGCCTTGATAATCTAAAATATACCCCTTTAATTGAGAAGGCTATGCACACTCAAGAGGAGAGGGTGCTAGTTATGCACTCATTTACACATGAATTTAAACAGGACATACAGCTAGTATGTCAGAAGGTAAAAGCTAGTCAGACCTGAAAAATGCCCAAATGTTGAATATGTCCCCAACCTACCTACAGATCTGCAGGCAACACATTTTTGTTTGAGTCTTACCAGCCTTACTAGCTCAAAATAATTAAGCACAATTTCTGACTAATGTTTGGTTCACTATTAAGCTATATTGACTCAAGGGCCAATCCTAGGAGGTTCAGCCTTAAAAATGTTTTTAAATAATTAAAACATTTTTTTTAAGTTTAGAGACATGATGTAACTGAGACAGACTCTACAGAATTAGTTCAGGTAAATTACTAAACATATAAACAAACAAACAATGAAAATAGCCTATCACATAGAGAATTAA